GGATTCTTCCCCATACTTGTGGGCTGTGGACTCATGCTGGCCACAGAAGGGAGTTCCTCAGCAGACTCTCCAGTCCTACCTCACCTTCTGAGGTGACAGTAGCTGTGGAATCAGATCAAGAACATGGCGGCCTCAGCTGGGGAGGGCATTAGGGAGCTGGGCCAATCAGGGAGTATGCTGGGACTCACTTCCCTTCTCTGTCCAGCAGAGAGGAAGAAGGATGGGGCTGAATGGACTGAATTGTAGCCCTGCTCTTCTGAGTCTTGACTTTGTCTTGTCGCTGACTACAGCCAGGCACCAAGTGCCATCTAGTGACTCCACTTCTCCACTCGCACAGATGGCCTGCTGAGAAGACCCAGAAGAGTGGAGCAGGCCAGCTCCAAGGAGGAAGGCAGGGGAGCACACATCATGTGAGTGGACAGAACAGATCACCTCAAGAAAATATACTTTAAGAGGGCTTGCTTTCCTTAAGGAAGCAATTCCCTTTTTTTTTATTTTTTAATTTTATTTAGAAAGGCTAACCATATTCACTTGTCAATTTTTCTTCAGCTTTAAGGAAAATAGTTTTAAAAACATAAAGTTGTAAATACACTCAAGAGAAACTGCTATTAAACAGTTCTGAACAGGCAGAAAATGTACTTTTCTTTTACAGAAAATGTTCAATCTGTAATAGCAGCATAATTTATATATAGAAAAAAAGCTGGCTTTGAAAATCCAGACTTTTGTATATATAAAACACATCCTTCTCCTACCGAGAGCAGCTCTGTGCACTCTAGAAAGCTTCTCCCCAGTACGGGACTCCACAGTAGGCAGCTCCCTCTGGTCCCCATCAGCAGTGGGCTCTCAGCCCAGCCTCCAGTCCAGTACCAGGGCAGAAAGGGCATTCAGGTCTTTCATGTATGGATGAGCTACCAGAATCTGGTCGATCTTCAGTTTCTGCTCAGAGTCAGGGAAGATCTTCAGCAGGGCCGCCCTCAGCTCGCTGGTCTCCGCAGAAGATCTCTGTGCTGGCATGATAGAGTTCTGCTGCATACTGGGAACGGTGGCCAGGGGTGTGAAGCTGCTAAGGAAGCCAAGGGTCTGAAGAGGCTCCCTGGTTCCGGGATGGAGGCTGGTGGCTGGTGTTGGCTACTTGGGTGTTGGGGCCCCAGAAGCCAGGATTGAACGTGCCCACATCTGGCAGGGCATTGAGTAGCGGCTGCATGTCTCTGTGGATAAAGTGACCATGGAGAGAGCGGCAGTGAGAAACCCCGTAAAGCACGTAAGGCTGACACAGAGGATCTAGATGCTAGCTAGTTCCATGTTTTCTGAAGGCCACAGAGCCAAGGGGATGTGAAATCAGCCCCCAGAGTGGCTCACAGGGCACCCGGCACCATTTCCAGACCAATGAGGGAACAAGCACCTCTGGGATGGACAGCCCTTCCCAGTCTGCTGTCTGAGGGTGGGCCAGGGTTGTTGCTTCTACAAGGTTCCTGCTCATCTGGAGGGTTTTATTCTAGGCAGTGTCAGCTCTCTGGGGAGAGGAATCCCTCTGGGCAGAGGCAACTCCAAGAGGCTCCTGGAATTCCTGTCTCCAGTGAGGTCTGGGTGGGGTAATGTGCTCGGAATGCCTGTACACATGGTGCTGTCTAGGCATCCAGGGACACCTGTCCTGCTTAAAAACTCCCACCAATTTCATCTGTAGCTGAGACCTGGGGCTAACAGTGCCATCAACGTCAGAAGCCTGACAGCCTGCAAAAGCTCCATTAACATTAGCAGCATCCCCTCAGGAAGGAGTGACAGCTAGAGGATGCACTAGGTGAGAGGGAAAAGGACCAGCAGGGCTGATCCTGCCACCAGACTACTTTAGGAGTGGAACAGGCAGCAAAGAATTCACCTCTAGTTTGACCTGGACCTCAGCTTAGCATGGGGCCCACACACAGCCTCAAACACAGGCCTTGAGGCCTAAAAACCTATGAGGATTTCCCATAGAAGATGTGGGGTTAAGGGGTTGGACTGGAAAAGCCTACAGCAGGCTGCCATGTCCTTGGCCCGAGTCAACGCCTCAAACAGTGTGCTAAAATCCAATGGCTCCCAGAGAAATGATAACAAGGCCACGACTTTCCAAGTGTGTCAGTCTCCATTGAAGAAGATCCCTGGGTGAAAATCAACCCACTGCGGTGGTAGAAGGAGCGGCAGGGCTGCGTTCCGGCAGCCCTGGCTCCCACATGGCAGGCTTATGCCCGAAATAATTACACGGAAATTATATTCTTTTAAACACTGCCTGGCCCGGCTAGTTTCAGCCTCTTATTAGCTAGCTCTTACATATTAATCTAACCCATTTCTAATAATCTGTGTAGCCCACGAGGTGGCTTACCAGAGAAGATCTTAACCTGCGTCTGTCTGGAGTGAGAGAATCATGGCGACTCCTCGACTAAGCTTCTTTCTCCCAGCATTCTCTTCTGTTTACTCCACCCACCTATGTTCTAACCAATAAAATGGGCCAAGGCAGTTTCTTTATTATAATTAACCAATGTCCTTCCTCCATCACTGCGGTGCACCACCAAGTTCAAACTGATGATCCCAAAGGCTCAGGCTACAAATGACCAACTAGCAGCCTTGAAAGATGGGACAGAATCTATGTTCTCCTTTAGGTACCTAGACCAACCCCATGCCAAAACCTGCCAGGAGATGCACAGAAATATAGCTCACTTTTGTTTTAAAACAAAGAAGGTCTGCCACTAGGTAAGCATGAAGGAGGCTGTGGTTAACAAGGTCACCTGAGAATTCTTAGCGTAGACATAAACTCTACTTCTCAGTGGCAGACAATAAAGCAAGCAGGCTTTCCCATGCAGAGATGGTAAACAGTAGCTGTGGGCCCTCACCCCACCCCCACAGCAGTTCCTGAGCAGGACACAAGTTCACGGCAGCACTGGACACTCCAAAGAAACGGCTGCACAAAGTGCATGGGAACGCATCCCACAGAGATCCCGGGGAGCAGTGACCTACAAGTTAGCACCAGCTTGAAAACCTGCTTCTGCTGAGACCCTCATGAATGTCTGTGTGCTCTTAGAGTAAAATGAAAAGGATCCCCACACAGGGCAGACCTAGACCCTGGCACATGAGGCAGAGGCAGAAGATCAGAGTTTGAGCTTAGCCTGCTGACTCAGAGGAAACCGTCTAAGGCAGGCAGGCAGGCAGGCAGGCAAAACAACACTGAAAAAGACCACACTGAAGATTAGCCTTGGGCTGCTTCTGTGACTGGCTTCTATACGGGTCACACATCGCTAAGTAATTACAGCCTAGAAGACATTCAAGTGCCATTTCTAGTTTTCAAGGACAGCATTTGTTGCAAAGCACAACATTTGGTTAAAATAAAAAACCCTTTGACATACAAGGGACATACAAAGAAATACCTAAGAAAGCCCTCCTTTCGAAGAAATTCATCTAGCCGAGGTCCGTTTCTTCCCAAAGGGTCATCAGGAACCATAAATATGTCCCCCACGAACGTGTACTGAAGCAGCCTACAACACAGAAAGGCACAGTGCTGACCATCAGTCCTCCTCACTGCTGAGGAAATGGAACACTCCTCACAGGAGACACCCCATTTTGGGACAATGGTCAGCCTGAACATTCCCAGTGCTATCTGCCTGGAGAGGAAGCAACCCCACACACAAGTGAAAGCGTTCTAACTTCTGTTGTGGACACAGTCCTGCAAGAAGCTCCTCTCAGCTGCCTGCAAGTCTCATCCAGACGCCAGCCAGGCATTCTGTTTTCTACCAGATGAGAAAACACGATTAGAGACCTTCAGCTTGGGACTCAGCAGGTGTGCCAAAGTGAAACTGAAAAAAAAAAGAACATGTTCATAGGCACACCTCTGATTTGGAAGAGAAAACATTGTCCTCAACAGAGAAAGCCAAGGTTGACCTAGTATTACTCATCCAGGACAGGGACCTGGGCCTGCTCAGCAGGAAAGTCTTGCCGGGAACACGGAACACCGTGGGGTCTAGAAATAAAGAACTGACTGGGCATGGTGGTACATGCTTTTAATCCTGTGACAGCTATGTAGTAAGCTTCTCTCTCGAATAAATAAAATTAAATTAAACTTAAAAAATCCTAGCATCTATGTCTGTGATGTACATTTTGGTATCCAAGTTGCTTCTGTGAGGTGAGGTCTAAAAGCAGTGGGTTGGTGGGAGCCTCCTTGTGTGCAGACTGGTGTCTAGCACACACCAGTGCCTGAGAAGTTCAACAACTCATCAACTGTGCCCACCAGGTCAAACTTTCCTCCACCCATTACTAAGACCTTCTTAGCAACACAGAGCTCAAATGTCTCAAGTAATTTACTTTCGTCCTTACTTTCGTCCAAGAGTCTGCAGCCAAGGTTTGCCTTTCTTCTAAAATTTTAAAGTTACATTGTTTCCTTATTTGTGTGCCCACAACTTTGGTTCTCTCTTTCCTGTGTGGTTCTGGAGACTTCCAGGTCCTCAGGCTTGGCACATCTCATCAGCCCAAGCTTTCAGAAACCTTGTTCGGACGTAGCAAGCTGTTAAGTCTGAGACAAGGGCCGACTGTGAAACCCGAGAGACACGCGTGTCTAGATGTGTTGCTTCCCCGCACTGCCCTGCTCATTCCCTATTTGCTTCAGATCTACGGCAGATCTGCCTTCTCCCTGAGCACAGCACAGCACTCTCGCTTCTTGTGGGTAGCAGCCGCTCGAGTGTCAAGTCTTCTGTGGGCTCATGGAAGCCAGCGTTCACTGCTCCTCAGCAGTTCACGACTGACACGTTCACAGCGGCAGCAACAAGGAAAGCTGCACGCTAAACTCATGGAAAACACCAGCCATCGAAACTAGACTTGCCTGAGCCCGCAGTTAGGTGCCCCCTCCCTCGGCATATTGTTTTTGTGCTACGCTCCTGCTGGAGTCACAGCACCCAGAGCTGACACTTGAGATGGCTGAGGTCCCGTCTTACAGGTGCTCCTAGGAGCCCCCTTCACCCTCTCCTGGGCCCACCACCTGGCAAGCAGCACGTCAGACAAAATGCAAACAAGAAGCATACACCAAAATGCAGATCACAGCAAAGTAAAACAAGATTACCTTTTTGTAATAATTTCTCTCCAGGACACCGACTCAGTCACGAACTCTCTGGAGTTATCATTTGTTACATTTATGCCCCCAGTTTTGTCTGCTAAGTGTAGCAGGAACCTATGGTTACAAGAGAGTTCAACATGAGCAAACAGCACCTCTCGCTGAGAGAAGCTGGGCTATAATGCAATAAGAAAATAGCCGCTTTAAACAAGGTTGGATACACAGAAGTCAGGTCCCGTCAACTGAAGATGGATAAAACAATAGCATCTCTGGAATTATCAGTGGGATTATAAAACAACTTTTTTCATGCAGTCTAGTTCTACAAAAAGTGATTTTTTCCTACATTTTCTAGAGCAGATCCTCAATAAACTGTGGTGACAATGCATGAAGACCTGAGCCGAGGACAAGCTAAAGGTAAGGGGCCTGTGAGATACTTCAGCTTTCAGTTGTCAGGGTTAGTTGACAATCAGCTCTGCAAATTTTTAAAGAACAATCAATTTTCTGCTTTGCTTCAAGAAGACATCATCATTTTGACCTAAAGATAGATAGATTCGCTCAATTACAAAAGAACGTGTGGTGATGAGGTACCTTTTGTGATTTTAAACAAGTTGTAGTGCTGCTGGGATCAAACTAAGGGCCTGACACGTGAGGCAAGCACAAGTCGGGGCACAGTAAAGAAACCAAGATGGCTGCTCCGTGGTTGGATGGCTGGGGGAAGTTTTTACATTGTTGGATAGGAGAGAGAGAGCAGCCAGATGCATCTGGAAGGGTCCAGAGCAGAGAGAGAAAGCAGACTGGCTGTGGATACTTCTCAGGTGTGTTGGAGGGCAGGGGTCCGTGGAGACATGATGATAAGGAGAAGCTGAAAAGAATGAATATCGAGAGGGCCCTGTTTGCCATTCCAAAGAGAGTGGTCCCCAGTCTGGAAGCATAGTGCAGGGGAGAGGGATATTCATAACACATACAAGTTACTAGGGACTGGAGGAGCCTGGAGGTTAGTTTTGGGCTTGCTATGTAACCACAGACATAGCCAAAGGAAGCGGCTCTTTCTGCTAGGCAGGAATGCTGCACATGGGAGCCTTCATCTCTGACAGCACTCCTACAATCCAGCTTAAGCAGACTGTATGACCATGACTGTCATTTTGGGGTCACCCACAACCTTCTGGAGAACTGGGGATCCCTTTGGACTCTATCACTAAACTCCTAGCCCTATGTGTGAGAGGGTCTTAACTGTCCTAGGTCAGCCTTGAACTAAAGATGACCCTGACCTTTTGGTGCTGGGATTTCAGGTGTGTTCCAGCACACAGGGTCTCGTGTACACACAGTGATGAAAGAGAGTAAGAATAAAGTATTTTGTTTTGTTGCTGAAGATAACCCCTGTCTAAACCCTCTTAAAATATCTGTGAGTAGCCAGGCACAGCGGTGCACATCTTTAATCCCGGCAGTTGGGAGGAAGAGGCTGGCAGCTATCTGTGAGCTTGAGCACAGCCTGGTCTACATAGTGAGTTCCAAGAACAGTCAGGGCTACCTACTGAGAAACTATCTAAAATACAAGACAAAACAACAAACACAGTGAAAGGAATGGAAGTGTTATTTCTTGAGCACGAACAAAGACAGAGAAACAAAAGCCCCAATCACCAGTGCAGGCACTCTAAGGTGCAGGCGGCTGCTCATCTTCACGGTGGCAGCAACTCCTAGGCGGGACTGAAAACAACTTAACAGATTCCTAACTCTTAGGAACTTGGGGAAGTTAGATTTGTTTTTATTTTCACCACCACCCTCACTCCCCAACAGGAACTCACAAATTCCAGGCTAGCTTAGAATTCACTATGTAACTGAATTCCTGATCCTCCTGCTTCTATCTCTAAAATGCTGGCATTACAGGTTGGAGCCACCACACTTGGCTAAGGTCCTTGTTAATAAACATTTCAGTTCACTTCTAAAGGGCATGACTTGTCAACGGTGCTATGTGCATCAATAAAAGCAGATAGTGAGGCCTCCCACCAGGACACATAGCTATACTCTCTGAAACCCAGAGATCAACATAAACCAAGAGGAAGTTTCATCTGCACACCTGCTCCTGGGTTCGAATCCCTTGGCTGTGAGAAAAAAGCTGTGGTGGTAAAGGCCTGAAGGCTTTTCCTGTGCCTACTGACCTACTTGCTTTTCCACCCAAGCACTTCGGGGTTCCTGAGCCTGTGACGATGCGGACAGGACAGATTCCCAGGAAAGCTCCCAACCCGTGTGCTGCCCTCCCTCAGCTCTCCTCACACCGCTCTTTGACAGTACCTTGGATGACCCCATCTAAGCTCATCTCTTTCCTATCGGTGAGGGAATGTCTGCAGTGCTCCTAGATCCCCTCTTTCCCATTCCAGCACATAGCAGTGTGGGTAACACGTGAAGCACTGTCTTCACCGGAAGGGGTGGGAACACACAGAACAGTGCAGAGAAGGGGCAGACAGGCCAAAGGCAACAGACACCACGCTTGTCACTACTTACACCAGAAGAGAGTTGCAAAAACTACATATCACCGGGGAAGCTTGGAATCCAAATTCCTCCTTTTGGGAGGTGGGATCTCACCAGGTAACCCTGGCTGGCCTAAACGCAGAGATTCACTCAGATCTGTGATTGACATAGTGAGTTATAGGACAGGGCGGCATGGTGAAACTCTGTCTCAAGGAGGAAAAAAAAGGAAAAAAAAAGGAAAACCAACTACATATATCTGCCTTTTCTCACTTCAGACATACTTTACTAAATTAAATAAAATCAAACTTAACACAATGGTGTCTTCTGTGCCATTCCTAACCCCATAGAATATATAAGCTTAGTAGTGACTTTGATCACGAGTTTTAAAACTGAGCAAGCAGAGTGCACACCAGCCTGGTGGCAGGCAGCTGGCTCCTCACCACCCCACTCCCACCTTGGGAAGGAAAACAGCCCTTCATACCTGTCATCATGAGAAGCGATCCATTCTCCAAAGACCATCCGGGTAGGAGTTAAAGATAATATTCCAAGCTCCTGGAGCTGGGTTAAGAAGTGCAGTTCTGTTTGTGGAAGAAGTTGATGTGTGTTCAGTAAAGGCCATCTTTCCCAGATGTGTAAACAAATGGATGCAAACCCAAATAACTTCACTTGGGGACTTGCAGAAAACCTCCTTTTCCTACTGACTCAATTTTACTAACTACCAGATCAAGAAGAAAAAAGAAAATCAATTAAGACTCATACTAAGACAAACCCTGCATAGGAACTGACTGGGTAGTTTTTAAACAAACAAACAAACAAACAAATATTAAATTCATTTCCTCTTGAGACTAAACCATAAGCCTGTAATTTATTAATGCTGCCCTCAAGAACTCTTCCAAAGGTATATATGACAAGTAGAATACAGAAAGGGAAGTGACAAGAGTCCCCCAAAAGTGGGAGTGCGGAGGGGAAGAGCCCTCTAGATGCAGAGGCAGCAGCAGGAACAAACCGCTTTGCTCCAGTCAAGAAAGGCTAGCCTTCTCTCCCAATTAATCTCAGTTGTCTGTACAAGCCCGATTGTCCCAGGCACACTAGTGACAAGAGGGAGGGCTGATGCTCTTCTGTGGGAAAGCAGTCACAGGCAAGAGAAGCTGAGACCTAAGATTCCTGGGTTTGCATTTCCTACCAAAGCAGCTGCCAGTGACCTGAGCTGACCTGCCCACACTGGGGTTCCCTACCTTGCAGCTGCCCAGTGCACATGCAATAAGACTCTGCTAGGCAATGAGTGAATCCACCTAGCTCCTCCAGGACCTTCTGTTCTGACATC